TTATTATTATATATATATATATACCCCATGCACGATCACTAACACAATAGATTTGAGATTATTACATGTTGAACCAGCAGCTATTATAAATCAGTCATCCGAAGAAGATACTAGTGTTTCAAATGAAAAGCATAACAAGGAGTAATAGTCTATCAAAGAAGAAAACACAGAGAGAAGCCTGTGAAGGACAATTCAAGCATAAAAAATGTGCACCAGGTCGAGACTCATGGGCGAGAACTTGATATATCCCTTTATGAGCGATCAAATCGAGAATGCACTACGTCAGAATCTATAGATGACAGGGACCAAAATAAACTCAGAAGATAAGCTCGCACTAAGCATCCAATAGAAAAGTGGGTAAGTTATGACTCTTTTTATTGAACATCAAATTTTCTTCAGAGAAATTCTAAAAGAGGACAAGCCCAATTGATATGAAGCGGCAGCGAAGAACGAGCATTGGATAGAGGCAATGAATAAAGAAATTCAAGCACTACATAGATGTAGAACGTGGGTGATAGTCCAGAGGCCCAAAGGGAAATTGTTTCTAGGGTAGATGTAAGTGTATAAGTAGAGTATAAGGCAGATGGTTCCATTGAGCGGTTCAAAGCAAGGTTAGTTGCAAAAAGATGTAATCAAGAATATGGTGTTCTGTGGCAATAATGAGAACTATTAGAGTTAATCTTATTCCTTTCACTAACCCATGACTAGAAGGTTTTTCAGATAGATGTTTTTTTTTTTATAGAAATTAACTTAGCATTAAATGAAAATAATATACATGAGTTTTTCAGATAGATGTTCAAAATGCATTTCTACATGGAGACCTGAAGGAAGAGGTATATAGGTGTGAAAAATTAAACAGGTTGATATATGGGTTAAAGCAGCATCATAAGCTCGGTTTGATTGCTTTTGTAATGTAATTAGGAAATATGGCTTTCACAGTGGACCAATCTTTGTTTTTCAACATGCTGAAGAAGATATAACCATTCTACTGATCTTTGGCTGGGACACACCCCACTCTGTGAGGCCTTTCCAGTCCTCTACATACTCGTCTCCAACAAAGATTCTACCATCGCTGAGGAAATGGTAGTGTCAGGAGGACGAAGAGTATGGAACCCGCCATTCAGAAGAAACCTTTCCGAAGAAGAAACCAACCACTTCCCGTCGCTCTCAGCAGGCTTACACTCTACCTTCATTTCAACACATGGGAGAGATGCTATGGTTTGGACTTTAGCGCTGTCTGGTTCCTTCATGCTAGCTTCCTTTTTATAAAAGCCTCACCCAACCCCCCACCTTTCCCTTGAATCCCACCTCGGTATTGTCGCAGTTTTGGTCCACCATCACCCCACCCAAAGTTCAAACTTTCATTTGGATTGCTGGCTCTCAAAGGGCACTCACAGTGGACCATATCCAAAAGAGAGGGATCTCAGTCCCCAATAGATGTGCCTTGTGCCAATGCGAGGAGGAATCCAATCCACACCTTTTTATCCTCTGCAATTTCACTCGTGAACTTTGGCGCCATGTGTTGCAACTCTTTGGTATCCAATGGGTCATGCCCCCAATGGTCAAGGCCTTGCTTTCATACGACATAGCGTCCCACTGGCCGACGGCTGGAAGAACCCTTTGGAAGGCTACCATACCCGCATCTATTTGGGTCATCTGGGTGGAAAGAAATACCAGAATTTTTCAAGGTCATAAACTCCACATTTCAGCACTCTTCCAAAAGGTAACTTCTTTGGCAACCTTCTGGGCTTCAAACCACAAGGTGTTCTCGGGCATATCAGGAAACACGTTCCTCAGCCAATGGAAGAACATCCTCCACCACCATCTGCGCAAGGCTAGCAGACCAAACAATTGGCTGCCACCACCAAAAGGCACCATCAAGCTCAATTTTGATAGTTGTTCCCTAAGGAACCCAGGCCCGACAGGAGCTGGGGGCGTTTTCAGAGATCACCACCGCAATATCCTTGTTACCTAGTCTGAGCAGCTTGGCCATAATGATTCTCCTTATGCCGAAGCCATGGCCCTACTACTGAGCTTGAAAAACTTCAACCGTTCCTGGGGTTCACACTTGTTAGTAGAAGGGGACTCACAAAATATTCTCTCCTGGGCAACAGAGACGACACCACCACCATGGCACCTAGCCTCTATTTTTGACGAAATTGCTCACATTTGTAGGGATACGGACGTCTCTTGGAAGCATATATTGAGGACGTCCAACGAGCTCGCAGATCTCTTGGCAAAAGAGCGAGCTAGCATCCAAGAAGAAGAACACGGCTGATCCTACTCCTTTTTTTCTGGATCACAGCCACACTACATAGAATTTTTGCAATCGGGCAAATCTTTCAGCCATGGTTAATTTTTTGAAAACTTCTTGTACATCTTTGTAATCGAGCGGGTTCTATAAGCCCATTTTTGTACATGGCTGGTTGATTCATTGTTTAACGAGAGACGACTTGAGGGCACTCTCGGACCATCTTACCTCTGTAAACTATCTTTCTCAGTAATACAAAGTTAACTTTATCAAAAAAAAGAAGATATAACCACTCTATTTCTCTATGTAGACGACATTGTCCTCACAGGTTGCTCAATTGAAGAAGATGAATCCCATTAAAAAGGTTCTTTCCGATACATCTCAAATGAAGGATCTGGGAAATCTTAAATATTTCCAAGTATAGAAGTTGAAAGAAAGAAAGATCAAATGATACTTGCGCAGCACAAATATGTTATGGACTGTTTGAAAATGACAAAAATGTTAGATGCAAAGCCAGCCTCTAAATCTGTTGTTCCAAATAGAAGATTGGGAGATATTGCAAGTTAAGGGAATTTCATTTCAAACCCAGAGTACCTGGGTATGGTTGATGCTGTACAATATCTCTCTTTCACAAGACCCAATATACCTTATGCAATGAATCAGCAATTACTAAGATACATAAAGGGTATAGTTGGTGCTTTACAATATCTCTATTTCACAAGACTCGACATACCTTATGCAATGAATCAGGTGATACTAAATGCCTAGTCCAAGGAGAGATCATTTAGAGGCTGCCAAGAGGATACTAAGATACATAAAGGGCACTATGAATGATGGTTTGCTTTATCTCAATCCTAAGGGCATGAACCCTTTAAGAGCTGTAGCCTTTTCAGATGCCGACTGGGCTGGGGACCTGAGCATTAGAAGATCGATTGCAGGTTATTGTGTGTATATAGGCAACAATTTGGTATCCTGGTCCAGCAAGAAACTGAGGATAATGGCAAGATCAAGTACAAAGGCAGAGTATAGGGCAATGGCAGCAGTCACCTGTGAAATCACTTGGATAAGTAGTCTTGTTATGGTTCTTGGTCTCAAAGTATATAGCGTTGTCCTATATTGCGATAATCAAAGTGTGATATCCATCTTGGTCCATGGAACGACCAAACATATTCAGATAGATCATCATTTTGTGAGAGAAAATTGAAGACAGAAGTGGTTGGAAAATTTGTAGGGATCAATGAACAGGTGGCAGATATTTTGACAAAAGGGCTGACCAAGCAGAAGCATAGACTTCTAAAGCGCCAGTTGCCCAAGATTGTTACTAATGTACAACTTCAGCGGGCATATTAGTACTTAGATAAGTTTACAAGGGCACACATGTACATATATCCTTTTGTGATTATTGATATTGTCATGAACACTTTTGTAATTTGTATTGTAATTTATTTCTATAAATATAAGGACGTCCAAAGCAGAAAGCAGTCTTGGAAACTCACCCATTCTCTTATATCAGCTTTTCCTTCTTCTTTATGATTCAATTATTTTTCAAAATCGACCCATGGTTGGCCAATTATAAAATGGCAATAGGCCAGTACAGAAATACTCATCCCGGGCTTGGCATTCAGCCCCTGCCCAAGCTGAGTAACTCAGGAAAGTCCACTCAGACTTGCTTGAGTACTATATAGGCATGAAAATACCATAAAAAGAAAAAACAAATAAAATCCCCAAAAAATTTAAAAAAAAAAAAAGGAAAAGGGAAATAGATTTGGGGCAAGAAGAGAGAGAGAGAGCATTGGGGAAGAGAGAAATCATTTGGCAAGAGAGAGAGGTAGACAAAGAGAGAAGGGGAAGCTCTACTAGGTAGAGAGAGAGAGAGATGAAGAAGGGGGCGACTTTCTGCCCACCCTTTAAAGGGGTAAAGAGAGAGAAGGGGGGGAAGAGATGATAAAGGAGAGTGCACTTCCAACCCCCTTTGAGAGAGAGAGAGAGGTGAAAAGTGCAGGGTGGATTTATTCCATTTGGAGAGTGAGAGAGAGAGAGAAAAAAGTGGGAGGGGATTTCCAGTGCCTCCCCCCCAACTGGCACCCCACACTTAGAGAGATATGAAGAAAGGGCGCAGATTCTGCCCACTTATAATGAGACACAGAGAGAGAGATGAAAGGTGGAGGGCAGATTTTCACCCCCTCCCCCCCTTGAGAGAGAGAGAGATGAAAAGGGGCGAGGAAATCCACACCCCACTTATTTCTCTTTTCCAGTATTAGTACTTGAGCAAGTACTGTAGGGACATGCCCAAGTACTGTGGAACAGTACTTTCCCGAGTCCCTACAGTACTCACCGTGGTACTGTGCATGTTCCCAAGTACCCGAGCATGTACATGGGAACTCACATCGGCAACCTGCTGAGGTTGGATAAATCAGCCAAGTCTGACTTGGCCGAGTCTTCAAAAACTGCAATAGGACCTCCATAACTTCCCAGTAATACTCACTGCATATGAATTGAGCCGTATGCACACCAAGAGTTTCACGAAAATGACCTAATACTTAAAACAGTATATAAAAGAAATAGATCTAGCATATACCATCAACTAGTACATGTGAAAAGTTGTTTAACAAAAAATTATAGAAAAAATCAACGGATGTTATCTTGCAAATACCTTATTTATTTCTTATTGATATTGTATTAAGCACAATCATCTAGGGCACATATGGAATCTAAGAAACTATATGGAATCAAAGATACTCCTAGTCAAAGGTTCACACATACACATCTAACAGACTAAAAGCCCAAAAAATCCTCTAAAATGGCAATTATCTTTTTGTAAACCACCGCCAAAATCACATATAAACAACAAATTATCATCATCATCCAAGCCTTATCCCAATTATTTCGGGTCGGATATATATAAACAACAAATATAAAGCTAAAATGAGTATGAAGAATCCTAATGCATACAATTAGAACATACCTCCAATTGCTTACAGGCCTGATCAAATGTCACCTGGTTCAAGGGCTGAACAGCGACCAAGTCATAAGTTTTCAAGATAGGATTTCCCGAATTTAGAGTAGCAGCTTGTACCAAACTATCAACAGCAACTGTCAAACGTGTATATTGCCTAAATGGAGAATTCAAAGATACCCCCAATATCTCTCTGTGAAATTTTACGGTTTGGGAAAGAGCAGGAGCGACTTGAAGGAGAGATTTCAGAGGAAGGAGAGGGATATTGCATCTATGAGTATCAGCCATGACACCTCGAATTGATCGGTTGTACGCAATACCAGTGTAACCTAATTCCATGGCCTTCACCACAAGTCTTACCCTTGTGAATGTATTACTGTGGTTCATTTTGTCTTGTGTTTCTGAAGATGGTGATATGCCTTCTACAAAGGGAATATTGAAATCAAAGAACACCATTGTGACTTGAGACCACGAATTAAACTGTGGTGTTCTTGATGGTTGATCACAGGATGAAGATGATAAAGAATATGGTATTAATTTGAAGAAACTCAATGTGACAATCAAAATGAAACCCTAGCAAGCCCCTGAAATTTCCAATGGAAAAGATATGAGAAATTTATATTATAGAAAGAAAAATATATAAGATTAGCAAATTCAGATCGGATTTTTCCCCACCAAAAGCAAGCTTTTCTTTGGTTCCTTGCCAGTCTCAAACCCCTTGTCTCCCCAAAAAATATTTGTTTAATAATATTGAGAATCTTGCATAAACAATTAATAGTTGGATTTTTTTTCAAATCCAAAAGAAGGTTGATGTAACATATCATAACATGTAAAAACCCAACCACATCCCCAAACCCTCCATTCAATAACATTGAGAATTTACTCCCATGCATCAATGAATAGTGAGAAAATATAATGTACAGTGGGGCTATGCTGTATAGCCATCACCGAATAGAAGAAGTTATAATTTTTTATTTTTGTTAATGAAAATTAACATGTCAACATTGTCCAAAAAAAAAAACAAGGAGAAGAGGATTTTCTTGAAACCCTTGGCTTGGGTGGTCAAGGCAGTGGATCCACAACTTGAAGCCAAGGGTTCCATTCCTACCCTTCACATATCAAGATAGAGAGAGAGAGAGAGAGAGAGAA